TTGCAATGTTCTAAACAATGTTTCTAAACTCTAAACGCTCTAAAAGAGCACAGAATGTCATGATTTCTGCTCCTTGCCAAAAGCAAGCGCTCTTAGCCACGCCCACTTCTCTGCTCTGCATGCTGAACAGCTGATCAGCTGCAGGATAAAGCTTTTTATGCAGCTCTGGGCTACACAAATGTGCAGCATGTGCTAAATAATTTAAAATAATTGATTTAAAATTAAAATCCCATTGCTCTCGTGCGGCTCATCTATCAATCAGCCAGTTGTGTGTCATGTCCAATCTTATTTTGAAAAACCGCGATAGCGCGAGTCCGTGATAAACGAACCATGAAGGAGCGAGGGACTACTGTATTCTTATTTTAAAATTCTGTTATCTGCTGTGACAAACTGCAAACTGCGCCCCTCGCACAGACTGCTGCACATGGGCACTGGCGACACCCGTGACCCAAAATGGAAGAAGCGGGTAAAAGATAATGGATGGATGGATGTTTTTTTTATAACAATTTTGCCAATGAACTGCCTAAAGTGAACAAAACCTAAAAATTAGAATCCATATAAATGTATTTTTTTTTAATAATAAAGTTAATTTCTCATTACAAGCAGACATAAATTCTGCTTGTGTTTTTTCTTTTTACAGTTTTTCTACAAGTTGTAACTTTCCTGAAGAAAAAAATGCGATAACCCACACGGCTTTTAATAAACTTTGGCTGGGCAGCAACACAAAATGCATTTTATACAAGGGGCATACTGCATTATGAAGGAACCCGCCTTTTAATGAGTTAAAACAAGTCTCAAGCTGCATGATTGTCTGTTAAAATATGCAGCCAGATCAAGATAAAAGCAATATTAGTTTTGTTGTGACTCTCTGGATACGGCAGATATTTTAATGGAGAGAATAAATTATTTCCTCAGCACGTTCTGCTGCAGTTTAATCCGTCAGAGTTTCTGTACCGACTGTATTAATTTCCTCTAACGACATCACTTTCATGCTTGTTCGCCGTGCGGCCTGAAATCATTAGTTGTCGTGATTGTGGGATAAAATAAATAACGGCGTGTTTATTCATCAGGGATGTGAGTTTCCTTGCCAAGGCCTGTTTGGGAGCTCCATTCATTTCCTCTGTCTAGTTCCCGCCGGTATTTATTCAGCTCATTGCTCTGCAAACGACCGTGTGACAAACGAGCCTTTAGTGAAAGTATATTTTTTAAATGTGCGAGCTGCTGGATGATGGAAATGTCCAGCTGCCTTGCAGACTCTGATAATGTCGTGTTAGTCGTCGCAGGTTTTACCCGTTGAGTTTGAGCTCACATTTGTTTTCCGTTCCATCCATTTCAATCATGGTGTTGTCCAGCTGCTCCTGCTCCACCACGCTGATGCCCTGCAGACAGAAAACAGGGCGCAGGAAATCTACGTGTGACGCTCTTGTTGCATCACAAACTCATCATTTTTACATTAAACCTAAAGTTTAAACTTTATAGACACCTACTTTATAAACTGCTTTTTCACAGTTCATTAACAGGAAATAACGACGCCACAGAAACATCGTGTTTCTCCTCGACTCTTTGGTGCAACGCGCTCCTAATTTCCCATCACTCAGAAGACTGGTCGCTTGGTTGCCGTGGCAACACCGTCTCATATTTGAAAGCGTAATTAATTTAAAATGTAATAGTAAACAAAATCCAAAATCTGCCAAAAGCTGCTTCACACATATTATTTACCAAAATCTAAACAAGTATAATTAGTGCCTAAACTTAACCAAGTAGATTTGTTTTCCTTTTCCAAACTGTAGTTTATTTTAGATTTATGTTTCTAAACATAATTAGTGGAAGTAAAAACAACGTGGCAGATGATTTCCAAACCACAAAGAACTAATAAGCAAGTTAAGAATTTAAATTAAAAGAATTTACTTTAAAAGGATAAAAATTGGCAGCACGGTGGCGCAACTGGTAGAGCTGCTGCCTCTCAGCGAGCAGGTCCTTGCTCGTAAAAATATAATTCTGCAGATCTTTTTTAAATATCATCGAATTATACGTGATTTTTTTATTTATTTAATAATTTTTTCCATCTTATATATGAATTAATGGGTATCAGTTTTTTGCTTGTTATTTAACCTTTTGGCCGGCACGGTGGTTCAGTTGGTAAAGCTGTTGCCTCTCAGCGAGAAGGTTGCCGGATCAAATCCCGGCCGGGACCATTCTGGGTGGAGTTTGCATGTTCTCTCCGTGCATGCGTGGGTTTTCTCTGGGTACTCCGGTTTCCTCCCACAGACCAAAAACATGCATGTTAGGCTGATTGGTAACTCTAAATTGTCCCTAGGTGTGAGTGAGAGTGCATGGTTGTTTGTCTCGTTTGTCTCTATGTGTCCCTGTGATGGACTGGAGACCTGTCCAGGGTGTACCCCGCCCCTCGCACAGTGATTGCTGGACATGGGCACCAGCGACCCCCGTGACCCAAAATGGAATAAGCGGGTAAAGAAAATGGATGGATGGACGGTGTCAGTCCTGCGGCTTACTGTATACGCTGAAGCGACTTATATACGTTTTTTTTTTTCCATATTCATAACAATTTTTTTACTGACTCAAAATTTCTAAGAACTGCAACAGCGAGTCCTCCCGTGCACACTCGCTCAGCTGGTGCAGGCGGAGGAACAGTGGCTCCCGCCAAAGGATTGATGGCACCGCACCACCCAGGCGAAATGAAGCTGTTTGGACCATTAAATAAATGCATAATAATGCAACGGGTCCGCGGTGAAGCATAATAAATGCGACTTATACGCCGAAGCGACTTATATGTTTTTTTCCTCTTCTATTTTGTCTGATGTGACTTATACTCAGGAGCAACTTATACGCCAAAAAATATGGTATTTTTGTTTTGTTTTGTTTATGGTTGAGATTTTATTCATCATCATCTGCTATCAATTAAAAAAAAAAATCGGAAGTCCTTTGGATGAAGGACTAAATGTCTCAACAACAAAAAAGAAACCATCCAGATGACCTGATTTAACTTAGTAATTTTATTACCTGGACTATTGAGCATGAACTTTGACCCACTTTTGATAGTTATGTAAAAGTGAAATTAATTTACAATCATTTTATAATTTTTAAATGTAAAAATAAAAGAACAGCTTTGTTATTACATTTAGGCTCACTGTGGATGTAGAAACATCGATCCGTACATTTTCTAAACCTGGATCTCCCTGTTCTGAGTCTCTATATAACATGAATACAGAGAAAAATAAATTATACGTCGACTCACGGAGGCTATAAGAGCTGGAGCCAGGGTGTCATTGATGTGTCCAACCGCCTTCAAAACACCTAAAGCAAACAATAAAATAAAAAATGAAAAAAGACTAATATAAAATGTATTTCTAAAGGCTGAATTTAGATTTTTTTTTTTTTAACATTGTCAAAGACACTAAGGATGGAACCAAACACTGATTTGTCTGCCAACCTTTGCCCTTGTAGCGGCTCTTGTCGCCGTCACGAAGCTCCAGAGCTTCATAAATCCCCGTGGATGCTCCGCTGGGCACCGCAGCCCTGAACAGACCTGAGGAACACAGACAAAAATGCAGCAACAACAAGTAGAAGTACACAGTACAGACTGCCATGTACTGGGTATGTACTGGAACTTACCGGTCCCTACCTGGTACATACCGGATACTAACCTGGCATAGACCAGAGCCATACCAGATTTATACCTGGTACTTACTGAGTATAATTACTTGGTATGTATCAGGTATGTACATGTACCTGGTACATACAATAAGTACAGGACAAAAAATCCCTTTATTATACAGCTTGATCTCTGTAGGTACAAGGTACGTACCGGGTAAGTACCAAATACATACTCCAGATAAGTACCCCCCAGTATGTACCAGGTAAGTTCTCAGTTTGTACCAGATAAGTACTGGTACAATACATATAATGTACGTACTGGATAGCTAACTAAAATTTTCATACAATTATGGTCAAATATATATATATATATATATTCGGATGGATGGATGGATGGATGGATGGATGGATGGATGGATG